TCGCTACGGCTTTTTCACGGACGGTAAAAAAAAAAAAAAAAGTGTGCAAAAGTATCGCGATCGAAACCCGCGCGTATACAGGTGCTCAAAAGTCATCGCGTCATTCGCGCTTTCTCGTGATACTCTATTTAAGCGTTTGTCTCCAAACGTTTTTACGCCAGCACTTAAACACAGTCGATGCTTACGAGAAACACGTTTATATATATATATATATATACACACTAAAAGATTAAAGTGCAACAGGTTACCGTTACCTCTACCGTTCCGTTCGCTTCCAACAATAAGTATCAAGATCGTTATTTCCTTCCTCATTTTATGAAAACTCTCGCAAAAGAATATTTCGTATATATCGAGGATACGAAGGATTGATTTCAAATTCGATATTACGTGAAAAGAGAGAAAAAGAAAAAAAGGAAAAAGAAAGAAGAATATCCGAATATCAGACGTATCGAGACTCGTGGAAACATATATCGAACGTAAACGGGCGATCGATATCGAGCAGACGCGAGTGGCGCAATGCGAGCGATAAAGCGAAAAGCGCGAAAGCGGAAGTAACGTGGATAGACGGTACACGGATCGAAGAAGGTTCGACGGCGGTGCTCGACAAAAGAAAAGAAGGTTTGCCTTGGCACTTGTTCGACTCCTCCTTCGTTCGTTTTCACTCCACCTCCGATCAGTTTCGTCTCGCGTGTGTGATTAAGAGCGGTGAACTTCTCTCCTCGCGAATGAGCGAAAACGCAGGTACGCCAGCACAGAGAGGCGTGCGCGTCCAGGAAGATGACGAAGCGGTACGTCGACGTGGACGCGGCGGTGTTGGTCTCGTCGTCCTCGAGAGATCTCTCTCGTCTTCTTCGTCGTCACTTTCAGCAACGTGGTATGGAGAGACCACCTCCGGGCCGCACGAGTGTTTGATAAACCGGTTAAGGCCCGTCCCCGGATCTGTTTGCCTTTGGCTTTTGTAACTTTACTAGTGTTGTGACTCGACTCGGAGCTAACATGAAAAAAGGGTCCGCGATGGTACCCCGAGCAAACAGTCCGTGTGTGTCCCGGATCAACACGGCGCACGCCTCTATCGGTGACCGTAGCCTGCTCACCGACCGCCAACACACAATACCGGACCGATACTTTTCACCGTACCTTCTCGCCCGATAATAATCCGGGAAACCGACCCACCGTTTCGCCCTTTCCCTCCTTTCCCAAACGGCCGACGGATTTGTCGTTTCGACACCGGCCCAATAATTGTTACGAAACGCGCAGGGAGGGGAAGAAAGATTCTCGATGGGAATTCGATCGGAATGGATTCGAAAGAACCGAAGAGAATCGAAGAGAGATGTGATTTAGTCACTTGTTACGTACGTATGCGCAGGTTAAAGTAGATCGAATTTACGCTTCCAACGGGGAGGAGTTCGCAATCGTGTACGTATACGCGATGTATATAACGGTTGAAAATATCGAGTCGCGAGGAATCTGGAGAATTTTATCCTTCTCGAGGATCGATATATTTTAAAAAAAAATCTGTTAACTATTATAGGGATCTCGACGAGTATAAAGAAAGATGGAAAGATAAGTTGCGCACGAAATTCAAGATCCCGTATCGTTTTACGAAAATTTTTGATTTGTATTTATTTTAAACGCCAGAAGGACCAGTTTCACGAGGCTCGTTTCTCTCGCTAGATAATTTATGTTTTTCAAGGCGATTTATACGTCGGATTGAATTCCGACTCTATAATAATCATACGATTGGTTTTATCCAGCCACGATGGTTAATTTACAACCGTGTTATTAGATCATTTTTTCCCCGATCCAATCGAAATATTCGATCAGCCTTTCGTATCGTTTTCCTCTCGATTCGTAATCATAACATAAACTTAACCGAGAGCGAGATATCCGAACGGAGGAGAAAAAGATCGGATCGTAGTAAGTAGATCGAACGATACTAGTACCTTTCTTTCTGGCCCTCGATAACCAAGCAAAAATAAACACGCGAGAAACCCTCTCCTACCAATTTCTCTTTTATTCCGATCTATCGATGATTGACGATGCTTCGATTATTATTCGTGTGATCGAACGTGAAACGCGTTATATATCGCGCATAGGAGCGATACATCTTTCCGTTATCGGAATGGTATAATGCACGAAAAGCACACGCATCGTTATCATGGTGAAAAATAACGCTTATGCTCGTTTGTTGTATCCCAAACTCGAGATTACGATTGAAGAAAGAAATAGTACCTTCTGTCCTGTCGAGATAAGTTTTCCATTAATGTGTTTATACGTGACGTAATCGTTCTAAATTGTTGGCCGCATTCATTTCAAAGCGAACGAGTCAAGATGAATTCGCGATGTCGAATTAATCCATCTTCTCCAATTTTTTTTTAACTTCGAACAGATCGATTATCGATCACTAATCGATAATTTTAATTCTAAAGCGGACTTTAAATAATTAAGTTCGTGCTTCGATTTACGTTCGATTCGCGTAACGGATAACGCGAAACAATTAGATTTAGAAATTCAATGAAAGCTATAATATCGATGATGATTTCTTTCTTAACGGGTCGATAACGACACCGATATATCGATATCGCCAAGTTATATGACAATTTCGCGAAAAAGTGAATATTTTTCTTCTTTTAAGGTCTTTTGAAATTAAACGAAAGACTCGACTCGTTCCGATTGAAAACGGAGTGCGATAGTAAATTCGATTAATCTATTTTATATCGACACGGGATTACGAGTAGGTGTAATTACAAGGTGTAAGAAAGATAAAATAACCTCGATTCTCGATCAAAGGTTAATCTGCTAAAATGAGTTTGAATGAAATTTTTATAATTGCGCGTAAAACAGATGAGATAGATATAATTGTAAAAAAAGAAAAGAAAAAAGAAACGTATCGATAAGATCGTCAGATAAATTCATTTAACGAGTTCATTTAAAACGATTCGATTATTTATTAAGGCGTGTAACGACGAAAACGTTTAACCGTGTTGGCACCTTTCATCGTTTTTTTACTTTTAT